TTCTTTTCAAAACAGATTTGCTCAGAGCCCAAAATAAAGCACATACCAAGAGCCTTTTGTAATGCCTAAAAAGAAAAAAAAATCCTCAAAAAAAATAAGAGGAATTAACTCAGGTTGGTTTAATACAGAAAATATATCCTAAAGCGAACACTAAGAACCTGCAGAATGTGTTTGTCTTATCAAAAAGAATGGGGGGTGGGGGGCTGAAGACCACTCTGAACTTCCCTGATTCATCTCTGGCTTTAAGTGAGCCGAAATAGATTTCTAAAAGAGCCGCTTTAAAAAAGAGCATGAAAAAAATATTTGAAAACCCTATTTCTAATATAGGGTTTGTATCCAAAATGTATAAAGCACCTTTGTAACTTAATAATAAGAGCACCCAACAGCTGAATTAAAAAATGGAGAAAAGATTTGAAGACACTTAACTAAAAACATGGGAATGACCAAAAAAAAAAACACCAGGAATAGATTCTCCTCCACATCATTCGTCACTGCAGAGGTAGAAGCTAAAACCTCAGCGAGATACCAGTTTATACCCACTATGATAGCTATTACAAAATCAAAACAAAAAACCACACAGGCCATCAGTGAGGATGTGGAGATACCAGAACCTCATACATTGTGGGAATATAAAATGGTGCAGCCACTTTAGAAAATACTTTGACAACTTCCTAAAAAGTTAAACATAAAGTTACTTTATGTTTAGCAATTCCACTTCTAGGAATCCACCCAAGAGAAATGAAAATGGATGCCCACACAAAGATCTATGCAATCTGAATGTTCATGACAGTATCAATCCTAATAAGCAAAAAGTGGTAACCCAAATGTCCATTAAGTGGTGAATGGACAAATGTGGTATGTCCATAAAATGAAATATTATTCAACCATAAGAAAGGAATGCAGTGCTAATGCATCCTACAGCCTTAAAAACAATGCCAAGTGAAAGAACCCATACATCAAACACTACATATTGTATAATTCTATTTATATGAAATGAAAAGACAAATCTATACAAACAATGTAGATAAATGGTTGCCAGGGGCTGGGATGAGGACAGAAGTGGATTCAACAGAGAATGGGGGATCTTTTTGGGGTGATACACGCATTCTCAAATTGCTCTATGGTAATGTTTGCATAACTGCAAATGCACTAAAACTCACTCACTGTACACTTACAATGGGGTAATGTAAATCTTATTAAAGAGAGGAGGGAGGCTAACATGAGGGCTAAATCTGGAGCATCTCAAGTCAAAGCAATCTCAGGGCAGCTGAATAAAGATCATTTCACATCCTCTGGTAAACAGAGAAAGCACAGAGATGTGACAGCAACATGCAGCCTAACAACCGCATTTGGACAACCCAGCCACACTGGACAACAAAATGTGTGTAGGAAGTTGACTGGTTAGCACATGAGCTTGCCAACTGTTTACCTTTCGGAACTCATGGTATGTGCTGAGGTAGTGGCAGATACACTATTGCAATGATTCTGGAAATTTGCCCACTCATTTCTATTAACTCAGGAAATAGGTGGGGCTCCTGGGTGGCTCAGTCGGTTAAGTGTCCAACTTCGGCTCAGGTCGTGATCTCACGGTTTGTGGGTTCAAGCCTTGAGTTGGGCTCTGTGCTCACAGCCAGCTCAGAGCCTGAGCCTGTTTCAGAGTCTGTGTCTCCCTCTTTCTCTGACCTTACCCTGCTCACGCTGTTGCTGTCTCTCTCTCTCTCTCAGAAATCAATAAAACATTAAAAAAAAAACTCAGGAACTAGGCAAGCAACTAAGGAAAACATTAAGTTGGATGAATCCTGATATCTTAAGTTTCCTAAGAAAGCTATAACTTTTATATTGTCGGTTTTGTAAGAAAATGGGGGGGGGGGGGCGGAATACCCAAGCAAAAAGGATCAGAATGGAGAACTATTGCTACCTGAATCAGAAAGATCATCAGATTGATTTGCCTTCATAGATCTGATATTTATAACTCAGCGCTGGGAAGCAGAGGACTTGGGAGCCCTTCTCTTGGACCCTATTTTTCACTGGGATTCCACAGGTATGAAACAGACAGTACTGAGAGGAGGAATCCATTAAATACTTGTTTGGGACAATCTTTAGTTCTCGAGACTTAAAGAAAAGCCGGTGGAACAAGAATTTATCTTTAATGTGAATTAAGTTGTCTAAATGAGGCACATTATGAGTCGGAGTGATCCATTCTCCAGGTCTGGAGCAAAAATCAACTCCACCCATGAGTAACTGCTTTAACCACGAGAAATTTCCTAATGTTAAGAAAACCTAACTTCCTCTCATGTAACAACAGCTCTCACGAGACTGAAGCCCATCCACTACAGGTGTGTTTCTGCAGTGGTAGTGGGAATCCTCCAATGAGCATTTTCCTCTGTTACCAAACCAGACGCCCGCTCTCCGTGCCATGGCCAGGACTCCCGCAGACCAAGCTCGGCGTGTCCTCTGATGAGAATCACCGCCTGTGCTGAGCACCTGTCATCCTCATCTTGTGACTGGGAGAGAAACCTGGCTTAAAGCCACCATGTCAGTTACTTAATAAGGACAGAAACTTCTGTTAGTAAGGTCACTGGAAAGCAATGGAGCCAAATGAGACTCACCACACTCAGGTTAAGTGTAGGGAACAGAGGAGCAGCTTTCTTTAGTTCTACCTTCCTGACCTGAAACACTCACGGAGCAAACCAAAAACGGAGGGCAGAGGTAAAAAGATTAAGCTTCCTCAGAAGCTAGACTGATCCAAGATTTATTAGCTGTAATCACTGTTTTACATACTGTTCTTTCTGCCTTTCCTTCTTCAGAGGGCTTTTATCTTCCTCACCAAATGACTACTGCACATCACACTACTGCACATCACAAAGGAAGACCTTTACCTTGGTCTTCACTGTGCAGGGTCAGACACAGACAGACCCTGGAATAACGTCCAGGAACCACAGTCATACATGTACCTACGGGCCGGGACACCCTGGAGCCTTGTAACGGGAGGAACACATCTAGTGCACTGTGGATCACGTACGCAGGGGTCTGCTTCTCCACGCTGCCCCCTGGTATGGATTTAAAGACATTCAAGATACAGTGAAGTCTGAGGTCAGCCTACAAATGCATCCACAGGAAGTTAATCTCTTGGAGGAGTAGCATTTAAGAGGGCACTCTCACTGCTAGCAAGGTTGCTAATCATGACCCCTGCCTTACCCCCAGACCTTGGGCTACAACTGACCTCCCTCAGCGTGAGCCAGCCAACAAGGCTAGAGAAGCTGAAGAGAGGGAAACAGATGCTCAACTGGCCAGACATGTGGTTGCCGGAGCGTGTCAAAAAAATGCAGTTTCAAGAAGGCAACTCCCATTTTTTTAAAAGCTCTCCGTATGCCCTCAACTAAGTTCTTTTGATTTGGAGATAGTCTCAAATCTTAGATAGACCCTTTTCAAAGTTAATCGATGTCTGGGGTCCCCAACCTGCTGAGAAATATGTCTCAGGAAGGGCAGGAATACCAATTTTAAATGTAAGCTGCTAAATTTCTTTTTTGGTAAAAATTAGTAACTTGCCACCAAGTTTTAACGTACCATTATGTATCAGAAACATACTCATCAATTGTGATATCAAACAGCATGTTTTATATATTAGATTAGATTATGTGTCATGAACCGACTGTTGTTTTTTATGAGACATACTGCAGGTGCCAGGACTGGGAGAAAGGAAGGACCAGTCAGGGTACAGAAAGGAGGATTTCAGGCCTGAAAATGCCTTTGAGGTCATTTAATGTTACTATGTAATTTGCTGTCTGAATGAGGACAATTTGGGAAAGAAACGGACATTATAAATACCGATACCAGTATAACAGGGATAAAGCAGGGCTGCCCCAACACCCTGGGACAGAGTCCCCACAAGAGTATACTCACTTCTCTGTTCAAAACCTTTCAACAGCTGCCCATCACCTCGGAGCAAATCTTAAACCACAGTGCATCACTACAACTTGGGCATATGTCTCAGCTACAGCTTATACCACACTGGATGAAAACTGCCCATTTTCTTAAGTCTCTCCACTCTCATCCATCTATGAACTCAAGGGCAAGAGTCTGTGATGGAACTTGGTGTTCTACCTTCATGCTCGTCATGCAGGAGCACTTAGTAAATCCTGAGTGACTTAGTAAAAATAATGGTTGTTCATTCTCCATCAACACCATGTCTTAGAGCATATTTTCCTCCATCCACACTTTTTCAACCCACACTCTGTATTTACCAGGTGTCACTTCGCAGCCACGTGACTTGAAGCAAGCCAGTTAGCCTCTGTGTGCCTCAGTTTACTCACCTTTATACGCAGGAGCTTAGTGGTATGTATGTCACAGGATTATTAGGATCATTAAATGAGTTACTCTATGTAAAGTGCTTTCAACACCACCCAGCCCTCAGAATAAGCACCCAGTAAGCTTCTCAAAGGCAGAGATCTGTCCCGTTGATCCCTGCGATATACTTACAACAGGAACAGTGCCTGACAGAACAGATAATTCATTTTCTGAAAGCTTAATGACATGCACTTCTATTTTTCTCCGATCTCTTCGTCTCACCAGTGCCAAATATATACTTTACTTCCCACATACTCCTGTGTCTCCATCAGAAACCTGGCACCCTTCCCTTTAAAATGGGACATGGATGACTCCTAAACTCTCTATGCCAGCCGTCAATCACAACCCTTTACCTGAAATAGATTACATGAGACTCCTGAGCTCCCTACCAGCTGTTCAATTTTAAATACAGACGATGACTGGGCACTGAAAAACAATTCTGAGGACTTCTTCAGTCTAGGACGAGATGCTCAAGCTACCTTTCAGTGTCAGAATAAGAAACGACTGCTACTGCCCATGCTTCCACTCTCAAGTAAGGAGAACTACTTAGGGTATATACATTCAAAGATACACAAATGTACAAAACCCTGGAAATCATAAACAGTTATACCAACTCGGCTTTTTAAAATAAAATTTTACAAAATTAAAATTACCTAAAATTAAGCCCACCATTGTACTTAAATATCCGGTTCCACTTCCCAGGTTAAGAAAAGACAATCCTGGTTGAAGTTTCAACGCCTCCATAACTTCAGAATAAATGCACGGTGCTGACAAGTGTATGTTCCCATGCTTCCAGGCTAAGTCTTTGTAAGCATTGTCTCGGTAGCCTTCCAAATAGTAATCTCCGCGATCAATCGCTCTGAAGGCTTGCTCCACTCTTTCAGTGCGGATATACTGAGCTTCTTTTAAGTTATCAATTAAGTCGTCATTATCTTCCCCAGCACTCACAGCTCCTCCCATGACAGCATTCAAATCAAATCATAAATTTTAAAATGTAATAAAATTAGCAGAAATGGCTTCCAATAATGGAGTGTGGTTTGTTTTCCCTTTAATATTGCACTTGATTTCCAAAAATAAATTAATCCTGAAAGGGAAGAATAAAAATAAACAGGTTTAAATTAATGCTTAAAGGAAAGTAATCCCAGTTTATTAAATCTATAATAGTCATCATAACGACCAGTTTTCAAGGACATATTCTGTTCCAGGCATAGTGTTAGCTTCCTCAAAAATATTATTTATTCTTATAACCACCACCAAAGGTAGCTTAATTGTGAGTGTATCTCATCTATACAGATGGGAAGTCTGGGACACTGAAGACTTAAGTCACCTCATACTGAAAGGTCCAATATGGTAGCCATTAGTCACATGTGGCTACTTAGACCTAAATTAAGTAAAACTAAGTACAATTTAAAATTCAGTCAGCCACACAAGCCATACTTCATGTGCTTAACAGTGACACGTGGCTAGTGGCTGCCACACTGAACAGAGTTGTTCGAGACAGCAACAATGCCGGGACATGGTCCCAATCCTTCAGACTCCAGAAATCATGCTCCCAATCACGAAGCCAGGCGGCCTTCAGACTACAGGGGGTCTAGTCTAATATGCATGAATTACTTGATGGACTTAAAAATTCTTAAACTTGGGGTGCCTGGGTGGCTCAGTCGGTCGAGCATCCGACTTCCGCTCGGTTTATGGTTTGTGGGTTTGAGCCCCGCGTCAGGCTCTGTGCTGACAGCTCAGAGCCTGGAGCCTGCTTCAGATTCTGTGTATCCCTCTCTCTGTCCCTCTCCTGCTCACTCGCTCACGCTCTCTCTCTCTCTCTCTCTCAGAAATAAGACATTTAAAAAAAGAAAAAAAAACTTTAATTCTTAAATTTAAAAATCCACTACCACCTAAATGCTAAAAATCCTAAGTGCACTCACCATATAAATTCAAAATGTTAACACAAAATAACATACATTATTACCAAAACACTGAATACAAAAAAAAACACCCCAAAACAAACTCCCACGTTTAAAATATACACACCCACACACAAACATATGTGTGTTACAACTGTTTTATTTGGTGAACCCTGTGGTGATAAATAAGGAGACCACAAGTATTATTAAAACCTTTAATAGCATAAGCACTAGAACAGATGTTACACAGAGGTACGATGAACTTCTCTGACTAAAAACTTCAGCATCTTTAAATGAAAACGTAAGTGCAACTTAATAAACTAAGAATTTTAACACATCATGATGATATACGATTTAATCTTTTATTCAACTACAGTTAATGAATGAATTCACATAACAATTAACTTCTAAAATAATAAACCGGGACAGGGAAAGTGAGAAATGAAATGCCCATGGCCGAAAACAAGGGTTTTGACAGCCAACTGGGACAGGGCTGTACCCTCACTCTTGACTTTCGAGTAGAAAAGCAACTGAGGCCTGGAGCTTCCTCAGGGTCCTCAGACTCCTGTCACTGAGCTGCTCCCGTACTCCAGGGACAGCGTCCTCTCCCGGTCCTGTCCCGGCTCTGTGTCCTCTTCTGTCTTTTCCAAGGATCTCCTGACACTTTCTGAGTACAGGAACGATTGTGAACTCAAGGCACACTATTTAACTTATTCCAAAGCACTTATACAAACCCAGCTGGCTTCAATGCCCCCACCACCCAAAAGAGAAATAGGTGGAAAAACACATGGGCTTACAGCACCATTCTCCTCAACGAGTGCATTTCGCAGCAGGCAGTGCGACTGTGGCCATCGATCTGCTGTTCCCTCCACAGGGTTCAGTTTGGGCATCCTTTGTAACCCAAGCATCGTGACTTGCTGAGCAAAATTCTAGCATTTAGAGATTTTTTTTTCCAATGACATGGCCTCTAGCACAGGTTAGTTAACTTTCTCACCTGGCAGGCACTCAGAGCGAATGCCTTCCCAAGATGAAAGAAAAAGTGGCTAAGTTCGACCAGAAGCAGCTTCTGCCAGTCTCCAGCATGGCAGCTGTCTCGGGATTTATAAAGCCTAATTCTGACTCTGAAGACATTTAATGGCTCTATGGAAATGCTCTTTTTACTGGTTTGAAAAACTATTCCCCTTCCATTTGGTTCTAGGACTAAGGAGTGACCCAATCCTTCTCAGGTGCTTCTGAACACTAACCTGCCCAAAATTATCACAGGAAACAAATGTGACTTTACTACACAGAAGTGCACATTCTTGGTGAGAAAGGCAAGAGGAAGAATCAAATCAGTAAGAACTATTCCCATCTTCTGTACGTGGTCTCATTAAAAGCTACAGTCAGCCCATGAGGAAGGCGTTCCCAAGCCCACTTTCAAGTAGAAACAACCTGTACAGGACTGGGATCTACAGCGCAGGAAAGTGGATCCGGGAACGCAGGAAAGCATCCCTAAAAAGGCACAGATTGTATAGCATGGCTAAAGGACTAAGGGAATTAGGAAATGGCTGGTATTGAGTGACAGAGCAGAGGACACTTTTAAGAACCTACACGTAATTGGGTACTTTCCATCACCATTAGACCTTTATCCCATAGGCCAGTTGATTTTTTTTTCTTTAAAGCTGGGATCCTTCGAGAATCTGATCATACTTTGACATAATTAAAAAATGAATGAGTGAAGAGTTTTACATACAACCTCGGAAGGAGCCTGAGTTCCTACACACCCATGAGTTGAATCTAATTTCAGAGCATCTAGAGCAAAGTGGGCCACAGGTCTCCACAAGGAAGGGAGATGAACGGGGGCAGGAGAATTACACTTCCATTCCAGAACGCATTCCAGAACGTGCAGTGTCCTCGGTGTTTCTGACCTACTGCAACAGACCAGAGGGCAGGTGCTTGGAAAGTGGGGAAAAACATCAGCTTATCAACAAGAAGCAGCACAAAACCTGAACCAGATCTCCAGGCCTCCCTGGTCTGACAGGGAAGACAAACACATGTGAACTGAAGGCTGTAGGGCCTCCAGAAGGGAGGTGGTCAGGAAGGTTTTCCAGAGTGAGGTGAGCAGTCCCTACAGTGCTTCGTGTTCCCTTAATCAGCCCACACACTGAGAACGTAAGGTAATGACGTGCAGATGATACGAAGTCATGGTGGTCTGCGTGCTCAGTCTGCAAGTGACAGGAAGGTACAGCTTATGCACAGTAAAGGGATACTTAGCAACTTAGGAAAACTTTCAGCAAAAAGCTGAAATTAGAGAGTGCCTGCTTCTAAGGTAAATGCTGTTACAGTTACTTCAAGTGGTCTGGGGAAGCTGTGAATGCAGATGAAAACTATCAGACACTGTCCCTGGATTAAAGCAACAAACGAATTAAGGTTATATCCAGGTTCGGATTTTAAAATTCTGATGAAAATATACACATGCAAATAAAATGATATCCATAAGCAAACAGTCTTGTAGGGCCTGCATTTCAAAAGAGGAAGCTGAACGCCGGGGCTGAAGGCTGTGAAGGACTGAAGGGCTGTGACGCTGGGTGCAGACTCAGCTGTGCTGGAAAGTGTATGCGGATGGCTATGATCTCTGTAGGTAACCGTTTGTACAGGTGCACAGGTTTTCAGTGGTTAGCCCGAAGCCTATTTCTCCCACACGCCCTGCTGTCTGTAAGCCAGTAGTAGGAGTTTTCAGATGTTACAGAGAACCCCAGTACTTGGCTCACAGGCTCACAGACCATAGGTGGCATGCACCTCTGCAGAATGGGACACGCAGGGCACGTGCTATGGTGCACCCAGCCCAGACGCAGGGATGCAGACGAGAGAGCGGATGGGAAGGTCTTCCTAAAGATGAAACCTGGGGAACAAAATGCAGAAGGAAGCAAAGGTGTTCAAAACATGTGGAAAAGGCAAGGAGAGGCGATGCCCTGCCCACGTGAGGCCTTGGGGCAATAATGCAGGGCAGAAGCGCAGGGATTGAAAGCAGGGCTGCTGAGGCTAGAACAATGAAGAGGAATGGAAAGTGAGGCTTGCAGGCCACACACACACACACACACACACACACACACACACACACACACACACACAGCTTGGACTTCCTCCTGCAGACAATGGAGCCAGCAAAGGCTTTTTAGAGACGAGAGACATATTGTATGACTAATTTTAAAACAAGATGTAAAGGAAAAACCAAAACTGTAAAAGAAAGAGAACATAATTATAATACATTATTTGGTCTGGGGAAGACAATGTTTACAGTCAGAATAGTGAAAACGCAGTGGCTGATTTAATGTGAACAGTCACTGGGGCGCAGGGGCAGCTCAGTTAGTCAAGCGTCCAACTTCGGCTCAGGTCATGATCTCACAGTTAGTGGGTTCAAGTCCCACGTCAGGTTCTGTGCGGACAGCTCAGAGCCTGGAGCCTGCTTTGGATTCTGTGTCTCCCTCTCTCTCTCTGCCCCTCCCTTGCTCATGTCCCCATCTCTCTCAAAAATGAATAAGTATTTAAAAAAATTTAATGGGAATAGTCATTTAAGCACACTAGGAAGGTGGAGGGGGAAGAGGTGAAGAGATAAAGAGGGATGTGGGAACTAACACCTCATCTGTAATTACAGAAACTAAATGCTGTCTAAAATTCGTGAATTTAAGAAGAGCAAAAGAATGACGTTTAGTTAGCAACGTGGAGGTAACTTCCTTACTGGGAAGGAGCTGAATGCTGGAAGTTCCCTCTGGGGTGTGCATCTCCAGGTAGCAACGGGTGAAGCCATGGACCGCTAGGCTCTGTCTTCAAGGTATCGCTTGACTTTCTAAATTGTGCACATGCGTTATTTGAACTAACAACTAAAGCTGAATATAAAGAGGGTGTGGGTGTGTGTGTGTGTGTGTGTGTGTGTGTGTGTTTAGACCAGATGATATAAGGCACATAGAAAATAACTTCCTAAGGAATAAAAATACACTTAACAAATAAAATAGTTGATGGTAGAAAAATCAAAGAACATAAAAAGAGAAATTAACAATTTATACCACAGAGCCTCAAAAATAAGTCATTTAATCATACAGTTCCTAAAGTGGGTGGAAAATGATTATAAATTAAATATTTTCATAATGTTGACAGATTCAATTATAAAAATATGTGCATTTGCAGAAAATTTGAAAACCAAGTA